GCTCCAAGCCTGTGTGCCAGCTCTCAGATGCAGCAAGGACACGGCCACCCACAGGAAGGCTTGAGCTGCTCAGGCCACAGCCTGGCAATGAGCTGCCTGGCTCTGCTCAGCACAGGTGGGGCGTTGGCCTTTTCTTAGGGTTTACAGGCTTTGCTTTGGCTCTACTGTTCGGCCCTGGAGCCACGCTGCCCGCAGGTCCCCTTTCTGCCTCCGACTCTTTATCATGGCGTTTGCAAAACCAGCCATGCTTATGCCTTTGCTCCTCTGCACCACAAGGCACCCCGGGATCTGCTGGCATCATTCTGGGAGGAGAAAGTCACACAGGAAGAGCATTTCTTGAAGCCAGCAACTCCAACTCTTCCACTTAGAAACTGCCTTCTGAGAGGCAGTAGCAGGCAGGTGTCCTCTCACGGCCTTTTCTTCCCAGGCTACCTGGCTCACAAGCCCACTAAGGCCAAGGATCCCCCTTCCGAGGGGCCAGACCTCCCACCACAGACTGCTCCCCGGCTCCTTGCTACTACGTCCACCCATCTGTCACCAGGAATGGGAAGCACATGGCACCGGCACAGCCCATCTGCGGGTGTCATACCACCAAGATCGAGGTCACCTCCGGACCAAGTGAGTACCATTGCTCCAGCCCTGCTGCCACACAAGACAAGCACGCCTCGCTGCTGCATAGACATGCACAGCAAACGGCCAGGGCACACACAGGAACTGTTCTGCTGGACAGCCTTTGCCCAGGACAAGTCTGCTCGAGAACAAGGCAGCACAGTCACCTCCTTTTTCTTCTCCCTCTTCCCCTTCCAGGTGACGCTGATCAAGCCCCAGGCACCCGCTCCCACCTTCGGACTCCGGCACTCCCTCTACAAACTCCCTTAATCCTGGCTGTCCGACCCGCTCTTCACACTCTGCCTTTGGAAACTTCACTTCCTGCACCCTGCTGCTCCCTCTTCCAAACCCTGAGAATTTGCTTCTGCTTCCCCAACACCTGCCATTCCCATGCAGCAAGCCATTCTTACCACAGCAGGAAGAACAAGTGCTTCCCCAATGATGTTGGCTGGATGAGAAATGGAACATGAGCCAGCAATGTGCTGGCAATTGGGCAAAGTTGCAAGGACTCTACCCCTTGTTCTCATAGGGGATTTTAACTTCCCAGACATCTGCTGGAAATACAATACAGCAGAGAGGGATCAGTCCTGGAGGTTCCTGAAGTGTGTGGGAGATAACTTCCTGACACAAATGGTGAGGGAACCAACAAGAGGAAGTGCACTCCTGGACTTGCTGCTTGTTAATAGAGAAGGTCTGGTGGAGGACGTAATTTTTGGAGGCTGTCTTGGACAAAGTGATCATGTAATGCTAGAGTACTCCATTTTTGGTGATGTAAGAAGGTGGGTCAGCAGAATTGCCACCTTGGACTTCCA